TTTCAACATAATATTTAATGCATCCAAAAAATAAACTATTACCAACATGGTGCTCATTTTGTCTCAATATAATACATATATATTTTAAAATATCACGTGACTACCAAAAAAACTTCCAACTTAGTCTCCAACGTACCTTCAAAAAGACCAATGCCAACTTAAGAATTGTCATCGACGTGATGCTCACTCTCTTTTAACGTAATATATACATATTTAAAAATATTATACAATTATAAAAAAAAATAACTTTCAACCGTAATATATGCACTGTAAAGAAGACCCAATACTGACTTAATGAGCTGTCATCGACGTGGCTCTCACTGTCTCCGTACATTGACCGCTTAGTTGGTACGAAAGGGTCAACATTGTGGCGTTGTTAACACCCCCTCCCTTCCCGCCCGCACCACTTTGCTTTCCACGTCAAAGACTCTTGGCCCTTACCTTTTCTTTTTTACCTTCCACAAAATTTCCGTCGCTTTTGTAATTGTCGATCTGGAATCTGGATATGTCCGCCGTGTACTGGACCCACCCACCACCGTTCGTTTGGCGGGAACGTCGCCGATTTCCCGCCAATCACTATGGTGGGATTTCAACTTTTAACCGCCCAAAACTGTCGCCTTTAGCTGACGCGTTGTCCAGGACAGCAACAGCTGTTAGTTTTGGTTAGTTAAACCCACGGGCCCCGTCCGGAGAAGATTTTAATTATGGATTTTTTTTTTTACATATGTTTTAAAATATATATTAACAATATATTTATTATACATTTATTATTAATTTATATAAAAATTACAAGAATAAATTTTATTTTTAACAGTAAAATAGAAAAAAAAAATTTTTTTTACAGACGGCTGTTGTAACTAAGGTGCCACGTAGGGGGTAGCGCATGGCAGATTGCAGAGTTATGGCCAATCAAGGAACGTGTTTTCCGACAGGCCGGCACGTGATTTGCAGAGATCATGGCTCATGGGACTATGGGAGTGTAGGATAATGGGACGCCTCTTGTGTGGTGAAGGCGTTGGATATTGGTGATGGCAGCATTTGGTTGAAAATGAAATTACCTGCGTCCTGACACGTGTTGTGGTTTTGGTTTTAATAAAAACAGAAACTTGAGCCGACGTTTTTTGATCTAATAGTTTATATTTAAATTTTAGTATTTAAATAAAATTAATGAAAATTTTAAATTTTATTAATTATTTAAATATTTATATTAGACTTATATATTATTGATGCTTCGCTCCGTTCATGAACTAGATAGATTCATTTCCTTTTTCCTTTCTCTTTTTCTGTAATTGTTCTTGTCAAAAAAAAAAAAAACTTACCCTTAAATTTAAAGGGTTTGTTTTTTGTTTTTTACAACTTGATATGGTTTCGGATAATAAATTTTTTTAATAAAAAATACAGTTAAGTAAAAGAAAAGAGTTTTTTTTTTTTTTTTTTTTCAATCCGGCATAAAAAGGTGATCTTTAATTAAGGTATGATGACTCTACATTTAAGGGGAGTTCTCCCATTAATGATTAAGACTGCATTACATTTTCTTTTAAACAAACAAATAAGGGTAAATAATAATAGTAATAATAATGTTGAAGCCCTCAGTTAGGGGAAGAAGACATGACAAGTCCGAAAACGTGCCTCCACCACCGCTTCTAATGGCATGCGCGCGTTTCTTGTGTTCCGACCAATTAAATGCGACCACGTGAGAGTGAGATCCCTTCTTAAATGACTGTTTTGCCCTTCATACATGATCTAATCGTAAAGGGGCAAATAAAGATTTAAATATTGATTTTTTTATTTAAAAATATAAATTTTTTTTGAATTTTTAATAAAGTTGTTGACTTTTAATTTTATTTAAATCAAGATGTTTTTTTTTTCTATTTTAGGATTTGATGTATAGTTTGATGATATGGTTTGTGAATGTATTAAATTTTTAAATAAAAAATTTATGAAGTTGTATCTTTATTTAGAAAAAATAAAAAGTAACAACTTGATTTAGAAATAAAGAAATTATATCCTTAAATAAAAATGAGCAAAATTAGTATATTTATTTATAAACTTAAGAGAAAAGAAAAAATGGGGATATCTTAATATTAAAAATATTATGATATTTAATAATGGTTATATGATAATTTAATAAAATTAAGACCCATATTATACCCTATATATTTAATAATTGTAATTAGATTTTTCTTTTTCTCAAAACTTAATATATATTAGTTTTGATTTTTTTAAAAAATTGGAATTTTAATTTATATTCAAAAATTGAAATTTTAATTAAAAATTAAAAATTTAGTTTATCAAATGTTAAAATATAAATTTAAAATTTGATTATATATTTTAATATAATCACTTTTAAATTTAAATATCAATATTTAATAAAATAAATATTTAAATTTTAAATTAAATTTTAATTAAACATAATAATGTAATGTAAGATTAAAACTACTCATTTTCTATAGATGAGTAAGTATTGAAAAATTATCTTATAATAAAAAAATATAAAATTAAAACTTTAATTTATTTTAAGAAATTGAGAATGACATATATTTTTTTCTTAAATGTATGTTAATAAATAAAAATTTTAATTAAAAAATTGTAAATATTAAATTAATATAAATTAATACAAATAATTTATATAAATAAACATTTTAATTTAATTTTTATTATTAAAAAAAAAAAAAAGAAAACAATGAACCTGCCTTCTCGACTTCAAACTACTACCGGCCCCAAAAAGATACAAAAGAAGAAAAGCCGATTAGAGCGGCGCGTTGTCACGTGTGGGACGTCATAATACAGAGTCGGCAACAAAATCACGACTTAACCAGCAAGCTAAGACGGGACCCATTATCCACGTGGACAGACCCTGATCGTTGATCGGTTTGAGTCGATACGACGCAAAAAAGCACTTAAGTGGCACAGTTGGCATCCGAACTGGACAGACGAACCGCCAAGTTTGGACATCAATCGACACGTGGCAGTCCTTGGGTTTGACATAAAGTGAGCAAAGCAAAGCAAACAATAGGAAACGAAACGACTAAACTGGTCAGCGCGGGCAGTTGTCTCGGGCACACCATGTGTCCCCACCACCCTTTTTTTATAATCTCTCTCCTTGTTTATGGTATCGACCTATATCGGTTTAGTATAGGCCTGGTTTCTATACAAATTCAAAAAAAGAAAAAGGAATCAAGATTTTTTTTTTTATTTTAAATCAAATCAAAATAATATATAAATACATATGATGTTCATATTAGGTGTCTCTACAAAACCGGGAGAGTTAAGGGAAGGGGAGCTTTGCGCCTTGGAGTGAAACCGGGGGAGAGCTTTCAACTCTCTTTCTATCCCGCTAGGATCGAGGAGTTGTGTGGAAGTTGTGGATCGAAAGGAGAAAAAGGAAAGGAGGGGTGTTTTCAGTGTTTGTGGGTTGTTTGAGAGAGCTAAGGAAGAAGAAAGATGTTGGAGTTTCACGCTTCTTCAGATGAATATCAGAAGCTTGTTACAAGGATGAGTACTCCCAGGTTTGTTCTGTTTTCCCCTTAAATCCTTTTGCAATTTTCTCTGTGTCTGTGTGAAGTTGTGCTTTTCCTTAAACCGAAGCATACGTGTTCTGTTTATTTCCAGTGTGTTGTTCTCGTTGTTGGGTTTTCGATTCTCAAATTTGTTCTTCTTTTTGTTAATTTGTGTCTTTGATTTCTAGTTAAATTCATTGTTTCTCCATGATCTCTTTCATTTATGGTTTTTTTTTTTAAAGAAAAATTCCGAATTTAACTGTTCTGTTTCTTTCCCTTTAGGAAACAATCAGATTTCTTCTTTGCAACTCACTCACTCAATGGATATGTTATTTCAATTAAATCAAATTTTCTTAATTTTCAAAAACTGGTTCTTAACCGTAACTAATTAATTTGAATCTTTCAGAACAATTTGCCGGCATTCTTTTTCAAAAATAATAATTTCCAAGCTTTTTGTCTTTTAATAATTTTTCTCTTTTAATTTTCCCTTGTTTCCAGAAGGTCTGAAATTATTTTTCAACGTGTTCTTCCCGGTTTTCCTTCCATTCTCATTGTAGACCAAATTTTTTGAAAATTTTCTGACTTGAATCTTCGTTGCTCTCTTACAGGGTCGCCATCGACAATGCCGTTTGCCCCACTGCGACCCTCATCAAGGTTAGCTTCCACGAAACTTCGAAACATATGAACCCTTTTGTCCCTAAAATATTTAACTATTCTGATCCGTGTTTTTTTTCTGGGTTGTTCAAAGTTTTTGACTCATTCTCCACTTTCTCAGGTTGACAGCGCTAGGACACATGGGATTTTGTTAGAAGCTGTTCAAGCTCTAACAGATCTGAATCTTTCCATTAAGAAAGCTTACATCTCTTCTGATGGCCAGTGGCTCATGGATGGTGAGAAATTCTTCCTCTTTAATCAAAACAAAATTTATAATTTCTTAATAATCTTAAAAAAAAAAAAAAAGGTGCTTTTCTAACTCTGTTTCTTGGGTATGCAGTTTTCCATGTGACTGATCTAGATGGTAACAAATTGACGGATGAAAGCGTAATCAGTTACATCAAACAGGTAATTTACTATTTATGAGGTGGAAGTTAAAATTTGAAAGTTAAAAGTTGAAATTTGAAGCTGAAGCTATTTTTATTCTTGTTTGTGTTGCAGTCCCTTGAACCGACTCACTATGCTAGGAACCATGGTTTTCATGGTTTAACAGCATTGGAATTGACGGGGACGGATCGGGTTGGTCTTTTATCTGAAGTGTTTGCTGTTTTAGCTGAACTGCAATGCAGTGTGGTGGAGTCCAAAGTGTGGACTCACAATGGTCGAATTGCATCCTTGATCTATGTTAAAGACTGCAATTCGGGGTGTCCTATTGAGGATTCTCAGAAAATTGACAGAATTATAGCACGATTAAGGAATGTCCTCAAGGGAGACAATGACATTTGCAGTGCCAAAACAACAGTTTCAATGGATGTTACACACACTGAGAGGAGGTTGCATCAGATGATGTTTGCAGATCGTGACTATGAAAGGGAACCCATTTTACAGCACTGTACGGATTCTCCTGTGGTCACGGTGCAGAACTGGGCGGAGAGGGGTTATTCTGTCGTGAACGTTCAGTGCAAGGATAGGACCAAGCTTTTATTTGATGTTGTTTGCACCTTGACAGATATGCAGTACGTTGTGTCTCATGCCACTATCAACACTGCTGGGGACAGAGCATATCTGGTAATTAATAATTTGTCAGTTCTTTTTATTATCCTAGTTTCTTCTCAGATTTAGTTAGACAGCCTGTGTTTTTTACTTAAAACTTGTTTATCTTGATTCAGGATTTCTATATTCGGCATATGGATGGAAACCCCATTAGTTCAGAACCTGAAAGACAAAGGGTAATTCAATGCCTGCAAGCTGCAGTGGAAAGAAGAGCATCTGAGGTATCTTTCAAGTAATTTATCTCTATCACACCAACATCATGGATTATTGCTTTTATGTTCATTCGTTAATGTTCAGTCACTATTGCAGGGTGTAAGGCTGGAATTGTGCACGGCTGATAGACAGGGTCTACTAGCAGATGTGACACGAACATTCAGAGAAAATGGTCTAAACGTGACAAGAGCTGAGATATCAACCGCAAATGACATGGCTATAAATGTTTTCTATGTAACGGATGCAATTGGGAACCCTGCAGATCCAAAACTCATCGAAGCAGTCAGGCAGAGAATTGGACTGAGCGAGCTAAAAGTGAAGGAATTGCCTTCGATATATCATGCAGAGGAAGAAAGGGGAGAACAAGCAGCAGGGGTTGGTGGGGCAGTGTTGTTCTCACTTGGGAGCTTAGTGAGAAGGAATCTATACAATTTGGGATTGATCAAATCATATTCTTAAAGTGCACCGATCGCAAAGGCAATCCACAGTTCGGTAGATGAAATCATATTCATTTGGGTTGGCAATTAGCATATTCTTTGCTTGATGTTTGGGATTTGTAAATATGAAAAAGGTGGAATTTGGTAATAGTAATTGTAGTTGGGGTGTGGTTGGTTGAATAGATATTTGGCGGTAGCTCCACCAAAAATTGTTAATGGATGCTTGGTTTGAACAAAGAAAGGAAAAAACAGATGGAAAATGATAAAGGAGGTTATTGGTGGGGTTTGGGACACAGATTCTTGATGGCAGAAAGAAGAGGATTAGGTAGATGAAAACATGGGTTTATCAGACTGTAACACATTTGTACATAACGAATTTTTATTAAGTATTAATTATAATGGTTGACTTGATTTTTTAATATCTCAGCACTCTCTATGACCCTTTGGGGTCCACTTCATGAGGATTCCAGTGTTCTGATTAAAGCAATGGGGACATGAGGCCCTACGCTTATGGATTTAAAAGAATCCATTTGTAAAATTGTTATTACGCTTCTAGAATCATAATCTTCTTTATAGCATGGGGAGGTGTATGTATACACTTCAATAAAAGTTTCTTTAGATACTAATCAAGAGTTTAATTTTAAGGGTACATCTCTTTACTGATTTAATACATTCGAAAAAATTAAATTTGTTAAATACTAATTCCAAAACAACACTTATTTATTCTCGAATTCAAATCTTAGAACTTAAACTCTAACTTTGTACAAGCCCAGTGGCAGTTATGAGAAAGACTTTATGAGGGTTGGTGCCTTTAAACTATCCACTGCCTTGCTATACAACTAATACTTGCTGTTGCTGAATTTTCCAGCCAACACAGTTGGAATTTGTCCCCA